GACTCCTTTTTCTATGCTAAATAGTCAATTTATAACGCTTGGCAAAAACCAGAATAAAAATTTTTCGCAAAAAAAATCACAGTCGAATTGGAAGTGTATCAAAACAAATGCCAGTTCTGTCGAAAAAAGTCTCAAAAGTGATCATGCATTAAACTAAGACTTTGACAGCTATTGCGATGGCGGTATCATCACGTATAGTGAAAAAAAGTGACGTTTCTCAACCTGCAGCAATTCTCAACCTGCAGCAACGCCCCCTACCAAGTATGGCATGAAGTTGCAGCGAATGGTGAAATGTCACAAATCGTTGAACGACTATTGTCAAAATATGGATCGAACGGAATCAATTATTTCAATAAAATTTAAAATAAATAATTTTGAACCAATCGGGGCACTTAGACTGGCATTGGAAAGGTGGCGAGGAGGAGCTTCTCTTGAACACCTTAGACCACCCCCTGGGTACTCCCTTCGTAAGATATGGGTATAGATTTGAAAATTTATCGAAATTTTCCAACCGCTATATTTTTGCCTAGACCACACTTTAGGCATGGGAGATATGGTGTTTCCGACTATTTGGGCCAAGACCTTTCTAACGGTACCCAACATGCCGGGGCCCAAATAGTGCCCTGAGAAAATAGCATTTTTACTGTATATATACTCGTGACGCAAAAACTGGCATTTTTGATATTTGGCTTGAAATGCACAGTCTATGGTGCGTCACTTGTCGGACTATCGTCCTCCGTGATGACCAAAGAATTTACTTATACTTCCAAACTATACCGTATAGATGCCGTTAGAGCATGTATTGCTGAATATTTTCCATTTACAGTGCACTTTGTTGGGGTCAATGATCTTCTGTGTATTTAGATTAGCCGCGCAAAATCTTCTTCATAAGTATATGACTTTATCGGATATTCGTCAAAACGGCAAGGTTTATAATGAAAAATGTCAACAAATTTTGAATCATTGAATGAAATGAATACGGAAAAATGTTATGGAAGTTGTTCTCCATTTCAATTCGATAAATGTAATTAAAAATATCGGTTGATTACTTCAACAACACTTCCATTATTTTCTTTGACTGACTTTAAGAAAAATGCAAAGTGATTATCCCCTCGACGACAAAAAGGGTTACATTTCGTTTTTAAAACTACTGGTTAAGTAACATTGAATTGAAAGAGATTAGATTACACTGTCTCATATTAAAATTGAATGAGATTCGATAAATGTTATCTGTACAGGCCACAGGTATTGCACAAAAGCGTCTGACAGCTCACTTCTGACGCTGCGAATCAAAAGTTGTGATTCAGATCGTTCAATGTTTACTGCAAAATATTTCATCTTTTTTAAAGATAACAAAGAAGACAAAAAAAATGTCGCGAATGTGCGAAATTTATTTTTGAGGGAGCGCAGCAGGTGATAAACATCAATTTTATGAGTAAAAAAATTCTTTTTCATTACAGAACATTGTTGATGAGTTCATTCAGTCGCGTTCGTGAGTGCGTCTAACGACGTAAACGAATTGAAATGAACTTCACTGAATGAGCTCATCGCAAATTCGTGTTTTACTTTGTTTTGTTAGTGTTATGCATAGGTTGCGGTACAGGCCCTTAAATTTGATGTGTTTGTCAGAAGATCGTTAGTCATAGTCCGTTCGTTAGTTAGTTAGTTATGTCTATATTGGAATGGCCATAATCCATACCAAATACCGAATTCATGGCTTGAATATTGATATGATATTGATACGAATATAACATTAACACTTGCTATATACGTGTTAATATATGCAAAACAAACCAGGTTAGATTCAAGGACAAAGGTCAGTTACAACATTCTACAATTCATTTTTTACGCTATGAACAAAATTCAAGCTGATTCCATCCAATGAAAAACAAATGAAAAACCATTCTTCGCAATATTAATCAGTTTTCAATGGGAAATATCTCATCTTGAACAATATTGCAATATTTTCACTCCATTGCTAGTTCTTTCTTGTTCCTCCTCGTCCATTCGTCGAAGTTTTTTACATCTTCTTCAGACAATTCATCCCGATAGCCACCGACTTTGCCCTTACGACAAAACCTAAAGAACAAAAATAATTGATATAATATTATAAGCACATATTTGCATTTTTTGTATTTAAAAATATTCACAAACTCACTTAAAGTCCGGTGCCGGTGTCGTTATAAGTATTTCTCGCATTTTTTCGAATGAAGCTTCTTCAACCAGTTGGTGCAACTCTTCATCACTGTATGTGCAATGTGCATCCCAAAAATTCGCTCACTCGCTTGGCGCAGGCCAATGTATTTTCTGACAATTCTTCATACGTCATGAGAAGAAGATGATCCAAGTGATGGAGTTGACGATAGCTTTGAACATGCTGATGGTATGGCCCAAATACAATATAATCGTTGTAGAAACTATGGAAAAGATCGTGTGCACTGACCTTGTAAAAAGGATAACGATTGCACGCATAGTGATAGAATGAGACGGCAACATCTTTGACATCACGACTGATGTGAATGAGTTTCGTTCGAACAGTCCATATTTCCTTGGGCAGCAAATAAGCTGGTAAATGTGATTTCATCAACCGTGGAGATGGAAGCGTATCTTACTCTTCAAAACGTTTGTTTTGGCTCTCAACAAATTCCTCGTCGCTGTCAATTTTATCTTCTTGATTTGGATCTGCTGGTATTGTTACTGCATTGCATTTGCAATACCTTTCGTGCGTATGCTGACTGATGCACAAAAATTGAACCATCGCCGAATTTTTTGATTTCCATGCCAAGAAAGCATCCAAGTTTCATTGCTTTCACTTCAAATTTCTTTTGCAAATGCGAAATTACCGAATCAATGCTCTCCTCGTTGTTCCCGATGACTATCCCATCATCAACAAATTTCGGTACATACAATGCATTTGACAGTGTTCTCTCAATCCACTCAGTACCATCGTATGACAAAATATCAATATTGCCAATTCCAATTGCAACCATTACGTCAACATTTCCCAATATGATACTTATTGGTGTGCTCAATTCAACGTAGTCTCGAAACCACGACCGCTATTTGCTCATGTGACTCGTTGCACCCGAATCGAGGTACGATTCTTTGCCGCTCCAATCAATGCCGCTCCCATTTCTGCTACAGCTCCGGCCGCCTTCAATCGACTTTCTTCAATCACCAATCGACCAATCAAATTCGCTACGGTTCGATCATTTGCTGGAGTTGAGTCCCATGCTGATGCAAAATGTTTGTACTCCGGTGGCAATGCATTATACAAAGAAGAAGAGATAAGAAAAAGAGAATAATAATAAAAGAATAATAATATCTCTTCGAGATATTATACTCGACTTTTACATGGTAAATGCTATGCCAATACAATTCTTTATGAAGATTTTTGTTTTGTTTGGTGAAACAAAACGGTAAATAATACCGTTATTTGTCAACAAATCTGCCAATTTCAACGCACTACCACTGCGTCACATAGTACAGAGATGTAAAATGTTCGCCATTTAGTTTTACATTGTCAATGCATTTCCTTATAGAGATTTTTATTTTGTTTATTTTTTCTTGTTTGTAAACAGATTTGCCCATCCTTTAGCATCGCTTATGTATATTTCGTATGAACTATATACTAAGTACAGAGGCAATGCTAAAAGATAGGCAAATTTGTTTACAAACAAGAAAAAATAAACAAAACACAAATCTCCATAAAGAATGTATTGGCAATGTTAAACTAAATGGCGATCATTTTACGAGAATATTAGAAGATATTAGCACTTTCAATAGATTATTAAAAAAAACTAGGGATTAATGAAACTAGGGATATATTTCCAAAAATTAGAAAGATAAGTGATATTAGACCAATATTAAAATCCGTGTATACCCCCTAGGTCAAAAACTTCTGGCTCTTTATCTGATTGCGAATCAGCATCCGATTTTCCGTAATATTGGTCTGCAGCAGGGTCATTAACAGGTGATGACTTCGTCGATTTTTTCTTCTTGCCAGCATAACAAGTGCTCAATAGAACGACCAAAATGAAAATCTTGATCAATTTAAAATTGATCACGGACACCATTGTTCCAAAGCTTCGCCGATAGGTGATTGATGAACGTTGGAAAAAAATCGTACTGAATTGATAGAGAGCCGACACCTCTCTCAAGAAAAAAAATACCCTTCTATTCTGCGGTGTACGTATCGCTCACGCTTTGCGTTCGCTCTTTTTCTGCCTTATTCACACTTACACTATATTCGTCATACAAAACAACGGCAGAATCTAAGTGTAGAACGCATGCGGTGCGCTTCAGTTGTGTGTAGCGATATTTACGCTAGACCGTATGCATTAGTATTGGTGTGAGAAGCGCGAACGTTTAGCGTATCTGCATGCGTTCTACACTTAGATTCTGCTGTTGTTTTGTATGACGAATATAGTGTAAGTGTGAATAAGGCAGAAAAAGAACGAACGCATACCGTGAGCGATACGTACACCGCAGAAATGAAGAGTATTTTTTCTCTTGAGCTGTAACACTTACACCATGGGCCATAAGTTTGGATACCCCTATGGAATATATTGTTTCTACGTTTATGGAACATTTTCAGTTGAAATTTAGTATTGGATATGAAAATATATCGAAATTCTGACCGAATGGATGATTGGAAGATAATATTTGGTCGGCCTATGGCCATCTTTTGGCCTTTGAGCTGTGGGAGCCAAAATTGAAGTTTTAAACGGGCCATCGGATTAAAAAGTTATATACGTCGTTGGAAAGGTTTCGAAAAACAGATGTGATTTGTGGTATTAAACATTAAAATCGGCCAGCTTTTGGCCAAGATATGGCTGATTGAAGATTTCGGCCAAAAATTACAAACGGCCATATCTTGGCCAAACGCCGTCCGATTTTGATGTTTAATACCACAAATCACATCTACTTTTCAAGACCTTTCCAATGGCGTATATAACTTTTTAATCCGATGGCCCGTTTAAGACTTCGATTTTGGCTCCCACAGCTCAAAGGCCAAAAGATGGCCATAGGCCGGCCAAATGTTATCTTCCAAATCATCCATTCGGTCAGAATTTCGATATATTTTCATATCCAATACTAAATTTCAACTGAAAATGTTCAAAAAACGTAGAAACAATATATATCCAAACTTATGGCCTGTGGTGTACGTTCATCAAATGTTGGTAACCGTCCCGTTGAATTGAACAGAGTCGACTCAGTTTGGTTTGGTTTTCGATGTTCTTTATTGTAGTGACTAAATATGGATGAATGATAATGAGTGGCCGATCGCTATACCGATGCATGTGCGATCGGTCACTCGTATACTTGCTTACTATGCATTTTACATTTGTATTGCCCTCTAGCGGGCACTAGCCTATCTCAGCACACCTCTTTTATATTATTCCATTCTGAGAAAAACGAAATTTTTCTGTTTAAACTCGGAATAACACGCAATTCGTTCCAAATTCCGATTACTATCCTCATAATCGATTATTTGGGGAAGAAAAATATGTTGTTGAATACCAAACCCGCATTCTTTCTACTTGTAAATTTCGAGTCTGAGGTAAACAACATTTTTCTTGCAAGAAAAATTTGATACTGACATTTTACATTTCAAAAACACGTGAATAGAGAGTGATCTTCAAATGATAGTTCCAATGATTCTGCTATATTCCCTCTAAACAAACAATGTTAACACCATTTTTCGCAAGTTTGTAGGTTTGGTTCTGGTAAAAAATAGCCGAAATTGACGCATTTGTGTTTAAAACTGCCATTAATTGTTTCATATTCCAAATTTAAATATTACGGTTTTAATCCGAAATGAAACGTAATTCATTTCAGTATCTTTGTGATCGATCATGTAAAGAAAACAGCTTTGCTGAATGCTTTGAAAGTATTTACATATTTTTTTCACATTCCTTCTCTGTGTACATTTCTAGTCGCTGCGTACAAAAACCATTGGGAATATCATCTGAAGATCACTCTCTATTCACATGTTTTTCAAATGAAAAAATGTCAGTAAAATTCTTTTCTTGTAAAAAAATGTTGTTTGCCTCAGACTCGAAAGATGATTGTTATGAACCCGTGTCATGACAAATAAACGTTCAATAGTATTTAGAAATAGTGAGGTTATGTTTCAATCATTAGATTTTGTGGAATGTTGAACGTTTTATTTTTGTACCGATGTTTCTCTTTCCATTTTTATGTGGATTGACCACATAGACATAATATTTCCATTAGTTTTGAACACTTTTTTTCTTAAGTTATAGGCTATGCATTTATTTATACACAAAACGTTCAGTTGTGCATCTATGCCATTCCATCACATATTATTATCGCTCCTCGTACAAAATAACGTTCAGAGCCTATCCAAAATCAAAGTTAGCCTCAAAACAAAGCGATTGAGTCGTTTATTTGTCAACAATGATTCAGTTGTGGCCGATATTTCCAGCATGGTGCAGGCCAAAATGAATGTATGTACTGTTGGCGTCGTTTCCACACCATGCGGCATATCTAGCCGAGATCAAGTCCAAATCGACAAAAAAGTCACTGAATTGCTTTGTTTTGGAGCTAGCCTTGATTTCAGATAGGTTTTTCATTTCTTTTTAAGGAAAACTGGTACATAATATGAAAACAAACCGATTATTGACCAAAATGGATGTAAAATCCAGCATTTATATATATAGTGTGTCAGATAATGTTTGCAACTTATCCTCATAATTTTGCTCCTTTTTTAAAATCATTTTAAAATTGAGTAATTCAAATTTATCCATCATATATATTTATAGATAACAATAAGCGATTTGAACGTTTTGAACGTTTCGAACGTTCAGTACTGTCAAAATTTAATGATTTTGACAGTTCATCTGTTACGACACAACCAAGCAAAGAAAATTTAACAATCATCTTTACAAGTAGAAAGAATGCGGGTTTGGTATTCAAGAACATATTTCTCTTCTCCCAATGAACGATTATGAGAATGAATTGCGTTTTATTCCGAATTTAAACAAAAATATTTCGTTTTTCTCAGAATCGAATAATATAAAAGAGGTGTCAGCTCTCTATCAATTCAGTACAATTTTTTCCAACGTTTATCAATCATCTATTGCCGAAGCTTTGAAACGATGCTGTCATTCAGATTGATCACGATTTTCATTTTGGTCGTTTTCTTGAGCACTTGCTATGCTGGAAAGAAAAAACCGAAAAAGCCATCGTCAAAACCAACTGGTTATGACTCTGAAGCAGACATATATTACGCAAATTCGATGGAAACTACGCTACCAGCTATAAAGCAAGGGGCCGTTCCCAGAATTAATCCAGAGGGATACTACTCAGATCTAACTACCGAATTCCAAAAAGCAAAAAAAGGGGAGGAAGGAAAGAAAGGAAAGAAAGGGGAGGAAGGAAAGAAAGAAAAGAAAGAAAAGAAAGAAAAGAAAGAAAAGAAAGAAAAGAAAGGAAAGAAAGGGGAGGAAGGAAAGAAAGAAAAGAAAGAAAAGAAAGGGAACAAGTCAAAATCTGCTGACGACGCATCTGAAAAAGACTAGTAACTTATATTTAAGATCTTCAGATGATGCATGAATTCGATCCAGCTACCATTGAGGGACCCAATAGATTAGAGCCCAATCCCCGCATATTAAATGAGAAAAAAAGAAAAAAAAAAACAAAGAAATAATAAAATTCTGTGCCAGCATATAAATTCAATGCCAACACCAATAATTTTGACAATGATTCTTTCTATTGCAATCTCTAAAGAAAATATCAAAATTCCACAATATCAATGTAAAAGTCAAAAATCAATAAAATTTCATTTCAAATGAACTATTTGAGTGTATTTTTTTAGATGTTGATAATAATGATGGAGAAAGCACGAACTCATAACTATATGAATTTGGTGATGGAAATCGAACCATTCATGTCTTTTGTGCGTATATTTAAACTGCACTTTGTTCGTTCCAACATTCAATGTTCATTTCGATTTATTTTATCGTTCGTTGTTTAAATTAATCATAATTAGTATTTTTTTTATTGATCTTTTGTCGATGATACTTATTCATTTTTCACGTACTGTCTTTCTGTTGCTGATTTTTTTAGTGATTTCAATTAGTTATTATTAACATTTCCAGTTGAATCAAAAGCTTTGTTGTCTGTCGGTTTACTTCCACCACCGCCCATGATGTAAAACTTCTCTAATTTTCATTTGGAACAACTGGGAACAACAATTTATTTTTCAAATTGAGACGAAATTTTCCAGATTTTTTCTATATATTCATAACATATTGCCCAAAATTAAAAACTTCTTCAAAAATAAATATTCTGTTTACAACGGAACAGTGTTTCGGAAACACCTATAATGAATGTTGCAGATAATATTTTTTAATGTTATCTGTTACATTCATTATGTATGTTTCGTTGTAAACCAATTTTTTTTTTGAAAACAAACAAGTGTTCTCAATTCTGGTATCGGTACTTCCATGAATTGAGCCACTTTTCTCTTCACTCATTTCGGGCGAATTTTATTTATGGAAAAAAAAAATCTCGACATTTCTTATGTGAAAAACATGTGAATAGAAAGTGATCTTCAGATGATATTCCCAATGAATCTGCTGTTTTCGTTGCATCAAGTCCCATTACTTACCATTTGGTATCGTCATCAACCAAACCCGTTTGTATCATTTTCGCTAACCGCTAACGAATCTTAAAAGGAGCTATTTGAAATAAAAGTCTGGGTTCATTTGAAATGTTGTCTAAATTTCTCTGTATTTTTTTTTTGTAAGGAGTTAATTGTTATTTTCTATTTCTTTTCTTGTTTCCGTTTTTGGTCTTTTAACTGTTTTATTTTGTCGGCAAAGGATTTGACAGAGGAGTTTGTATTGATTATTCTCTCAATGATGGCTGGATCGAATTGATGATCTAGGTTCTAGGGTTTCAGATAGTCATCGACGATATGGTGGTGTAGGAAATTTTGATGATGATTCATTCTCTTTTTTTCCTTTTTTGTCTTTTCTATTGGGACCTGCATGAGCATCTCTCGCCATCTCTGCCCTCGTAGGACCAACCGGGCTGTAATATGCGTCTGAAGCAGGGTCATAGCCGGTACCGGCAACTGTATTAGTTCTGCGAAAACCTACGCGGTGAATACCTAGAGGGTAGACACATTAGTAAATTAGAATCTAATACATTAAATTAGAGAATATTAGAAACTGAAATGTTTGATGACTTTTGCTTGGCAAATGCTATGCCAATACAATTCTTTATGGAGATTTTTGTTTTGTTTATTTTTTCTTGTTTGTAAACAGAATTGCCCATCCTTTAGCATTGCCTATGTATATTTCGTATGGACAGAGGCAATGCTAAAAGATAGGCAGATTTGTTTACAAACAAGAAAATATAAACAAAACACAAATCTCCATAAAGAATGTATCGGCAATGTAAAACTAAATGGCGATCATTTTACGAGAATATTAGAAGATATTAGCACTTTCAATCGATTATTTAAAAAAAAAAACTAGGGATTAATGAAACTAGGGATATATTTCCAAAAGTTAGAAAGATTAGTGATATTGGACCAATATTAACCTTCTGGCTCTTTATCTGATTGCGAATCAGCATCCGATTTTCCGTAATATTGGTCTGCAGCAGGGTCATTAACAGGTGATGACTTCGTCGATTTTTTCTTCTTGCCAGCATAACAAGTGCTCAAGAGAACGACCAAAATGAAAATCTTGATCAATTTAAAATTGATCACGGACACCATTGTTCCAAAGCTTCGCCGATAGGTGATTGATGAACTTTGGAAAAAAATTGTACTGAATTGATAGAGAACTGACACCTCTTTTATATTATTCCATTCTGAGAAAAATGAAATTTTTCTGTTTAAACTCGGAATAACACGCAATTCATTCCAAATTCCGAAGTCGTGAATTACTATCTTCATAATTGATTATTTGGGGAAGAAAAATATGTTGTTGAATACCAAACCTGCATTCTTTCTACTTATAAATTTCGAGTCTGAGGTAAACAACATTTTTCATTTCAAAAACACGTGAATAGAGAGTGATCTTCAAATGATAGTTCCAATTGTTCTGCTATATTCCCTCTAAACAAACAATGTTAACACCATTTTTCGCAAGTTTGTAGGTTTGGTTCTGGTAAAAAATAGCCGAAATTGACGCATTTGTGTTTAAAACTGCCATTAATTGTATCATATTCCAAATTGAAATATTTCGGTTTTAATCCGAAATGAATTACTCATTTCAGTATCTTTGTGATCGATCATGTAAAGAAAACAGCTTTGCTGAATGCTTTGAAAGTATGTACATATGTTTTTCACATTCCTTCTCTGTGTACATTTCTAGTCGCTGCGTACAAAACAACATTTTTCTTACTAACTCGACACTAAAATTCTACTGAAAAGATGAGAATGTTTCTGCGCAATACATTTGATGACTAAGACTAAGAAGAGACAATTATTCATCGACAATTTAAAATAGCCCATAATCGTTTTATTTTAATTAAAATTGAATTTAAATATGGGTCCGATAGTGCAAAAGGTCATAGACCTACGCATGGCTTCATAGAAAGCCGCCGAATACAATCCATACATCCATTACGTTAAAAAAAATTAGAAGTCACAATGCATTTTTGAATTAAAATTGAATTTCACAATAAGAAGAAGAGAAAGATCCCGAAAAAAACGAGCTCTGGCATACATCTGACATTCCTTCATATGGCTTTCATTTGCCTTGTTTGCACGCCTTTGTAGTTACTATTTTCAGTTATTTCCCCCTATAAAAAAATGTTATCTGTTACATTCATTATGTGTGTTTCGTTGTAAACCAATTTTTTGTTTTTAGAAAACAAACAAGTGTTCTCAATTTTGGTATCGGCACTCCCATGAATTGAGCCACTTTTCTCTTCACTCATTTCGGGCGAATTTTTTTCATGGAAAAAAAAAATTCTCGACATTTCTTATGTGAAAAACATGTGAATAGAAAGTGATCTTCAGATGATATTCCCAATGGATCTGCTGTTTTCGTTGCATCAAGTCCCATTACTTACCATTTGGTATCGTCATCAACCAAACCCGTTTGTATCATCTTCGCTAACCGCTAACGAATCATAAAAGGAGCTATTTGAAATAAAAGTCTTGGTTCATTTGAAATGTTGTCTAAATTTCTCTGTATTTTTTTTTTGTAAGGAGTTAAAATGTTTCACTGCCAATGTGCAAAACGTCTGTTTGTCGAAATTGTGAGAAATTCAGAGTTTGAGATGCTCTCTAGATATTTCAGTTATAACGAATAAATATAGTAAAACATTTATAAATATAAAAAAAGACGACGTGACGGGGGGTGTATATCATAGGTTTCTTCTTATTCAAAAGTTTTTTTTTGGTTTCTTTGTTTGTGTTTGCACCTCGCATTGAACAGAGAATAATTATTTGAATCTGCGTCTTTTATGTTTTTCTTCTTCTTAAATTTTTGTTTCTTTGTCGGATGGTACAACGATATCATCATTTTCGTGTTTTTTTTTGTAATCAGTAGGATGGCTTGATTTTTGATAGTTTCGTTTTGCACCATCGATGAGGCTTAAACCTTTGTCGAGTGTCAGCCAAGTTCGAAATACCATATCTTTAGTTGTTTTATGGGGATTACAGATTTTCGCCAGAGCCTAATAAATTGCAGGTTTTTTGATGAAGTCATGAGAATACAACCACAATAGAAAACCTATATACGACATTGTAAACATCATGATATTTTCTGGATTTAATTTTTTCACCAACAAATTCCGGCAAATTTGAAGTAGATCGGAAGTGATTGAAAGCATTTCGATGAAAGGAAGCTGCCACGTAAAATTTTCTTATTTTCTTCGGAAAATTGGCAAAATGGCAGAAGGATTGGTTTTTTTGGTAGAAAAATAAGACCCAGAATGTTTTACGACGTTTTTAATGTCATGAATAGGTGCTGTATTGATGTTGTATCCTCATGGCTCAATCGAAAAACCATTTATCTGGCTCTGGCGGAAGTCCCCTTCAATTCCCATGAAACAACCGAAAGATATGGTATTTTGTGCTTTGCTGGACGCACGCCAGACATTTTGAGCCTCACCAATAGCAAAAAACGAAGCTTTCAAAAAACGAGCCACTCTAGTAAGCAGATAAAATAATTATTGTCCATTCACAAAATGGTCAAATTTTGATTATGAATATGCGCTTAACTATCTACATATACTTTTGTTTCGAGCTTTCGAATCTACATTTAAATAGATATAAATGGCCATTTACAAATTACGCTGAAATTGTGTGTATTCATTTAGTTTCTTATGTTTTCGTTCCTTAAAATAATTTGGTCAATTTTTCTTATTTCATTTTTTTTTCTTTGTTGTTGTTGTTTCCGGTAAATCATACTGAAAACTCTGTTGTATTTTTTTCTTTATTTGGTATAAACTACAATTTTTTCTTTAATTTTTTTTTTCTTGTTCTATTTACTCCTCCTCATGTAATATTAAATAAAGTTTTTCAAAAACACCAAAAAACTTTGTATATACAATTATATGAATTATCGCATTAAATTGGTTTGTTTTTTTATCTGTCTCCTTGAATTATTTACAGCAAATAATATAAATCTCCAAATGTTCAACAGGTTTTTATTTTATTTTTATTTTTTTGTTCCTATCATTTGTGCTTGTATATTCTAAAAACTCTGAAAAATGAAAACAAATTACTTCAGTGGCACCAACACATTCATGTCTATATCAACTTAACTGCTTAAACTCTGTGTGACCTCACAAATAGGTGTACATAATGAATTTTTATTTCCCTCATTTTGTGTGTTTGTGTGTTTATTTGTTTCAATCTGTTTTCTGCCTACACTAACGTAACTATCTCTTTTAAGTTGACCAAATTTTGCTGCTCATTTCCATCAATTGTTAACTAGTTTTTTTTTCTTTTTCTATTTAAATGGTCTTTCAATAATATTTGAGGCTCTGTATTTTTTTTCTTTAGCAAAGAAGGAGTATATTGGGAAAATGTCTAAAATCGTTCATTAATTTCACCGAAAACATGGCCCGTTTTCTCTCCATCCATTTCGCCTCCGTTATCTTATAATTTTGATTGTTTTTTTTTACACTTTGTATTTATATATATTTTGTGTGAGAGTTTGTGTGTTTTCATCGAATGTGTGTCTTATATTTCTAACGGTTTTCATAAGAAAAAACATGGTTTTCGCAAGAGTGAAGAGATGTGCTTTTTGTGCTGCTTATGCGATTCAGTTCGCTGGAGATGATTGTTGTTATTTGTCGGATTCCTTTAAAATGCTGTTATTTAAAAAAACAAAAACGAATCGAGAAAGAAAAGAATGAAAGAGATAGATAAAGAGAGAGAGAGAGAAAGAGACTGAAGATTGAAAGTGTCGCTGATGTTTGTTAAATGATGTGATTGATTTGAATTGTTCTTAATTGCTAGAATTACTTTACAGGAATTCGTTAGTATTTTTGTTATTGGAGGAGCTTCAGAATGAATTGTTTTATCTGTTTCTCTTTTGTGACACATCTCATAAGCTCTTAGGACCGAACATACGTTCATCTCCTTTCGTTTTTGTCAACTTGTGTTTGTGTGTTTAAAAAAAAAATGCAGCATGACTCATCATCAATGGCAATTTAATATTTAAGGCGAAAATCATGTTCCGTTCTAATATTTGTCATTTTTAGTTAGTTTTTTTTTTCTCTTGTCTCCAAGTAAAAATTTCCGTTTTTTTCTGTCGTATTTTCCTTCTTCAGTTTTATGACGTTTGGTTTCATGTATGTGTGTTATATGGCAAAATGCTTTTTTAGTTTCAAATTACACAGACTTTTCTTTCCTTCATCCTGGCCACATTTTGCGCTGATACGTATCAATCGTACTTGTTGGACAAACCAACAGTAATAATGTTCAATGTAATGTATGCAATATATTTGCTGACCAAAGCGGTCAATGCACCGAAACCTCAAATCAACAGTCAACAAATAACTTTGTTAGCAATAAGAAATTCAGTTAATAAAGTCAGTTAATTGTCAACTGCTAAACAAAGCAAACGTTTTTAACTCCCCAAGCGCGACTGCACACATAGCTTCTAAATGTGACAATGTAGTAAGTGTGGGCATACGTTTTGCGAATAAGCGACAAAGAGAATGGAAACAAGTGCGCGTGTGGTAGTGAGTAGCCTGATGCGATGCTACTCAATGTAGCGACTAATACACGCACACTTGTTTCTATTCTCTTTGTCGCTTATTCACAAAACGTATGCCCACACTTACTACGGTGTCACATTTAGAAGCTAAGTGTGGAGTCGCGCTTGGGTCAATTTAATGTTTTGTACTTTTGCATTACAGTACTAGTATACATTATTGAGTTCGTTTTGTTTGTTCTTGATTCCATTTTGCTGTTACCAGCAAAATGCGCTCACTTAGATAAAAAATGAACTTCCCGTAGGTATCCTTACAAAGCAATTATTCGAGAAAAAAAAAATTAAACACGTAAAATGGTGAGTGGAAAAGTGTATCGTTTTACAGATGGGAATTTCACACTGAAAATGAGTGATCGTGTAATGTGTACAGTAGAAATTGTAGTAAACTATGACATGAAAGAGATTTCCGTTGAGATTTTGCGCGAGTGACGCTCACTAGCTACCCGGTAACCAGCAGTTGTTTGTATTCTTCTTTCTTTGTGTTCCGTTTTTTTCTTTCTTCTTTTATATCATTCTAAAGCGGAGGCGCTATTCCAATGAATCTCGACGCCACCAGGCAGTTTAAGAGTTGGCCAAGCGATTTTGTATCTGATTTTGAATGAGCTGATGTGCAGCCATATCCATTTCTTCACTGGTCATATTTAAAGCTTCTTGCATTTCACGCGATGTATATCGTATAAAATCGGGATCACAAAATTTTCCAAGTCCCTGCTCAACAAGAACCTACACGATGGAATAACAAGAAAATTATTTGAAAAAATTTCGATTTTTCAGGAAGAAAAATAAAAGAAGACTCATTGAATTAGCTTTGGAAAAGGTTTCAGAATAGCAAATCAACTTGTAACTTACTCGTCCAACAAGACTCTCAGCCGAGCCGACAACTTCGAACGAAGTGGGCCGTCCATGCTCCTGAGGGCTGCCCGGTGTTGATTGGGTTAAACGTTGCTTTGCATGGAAATTGGCCATGTCGGCGCCGGTTTCGTTCGTACTCAAAACTGAAACACCGTTACTGTTGGCATAACCGCCACTCGTTGGTTGTTGTTGCTGTTGTTGATGCATTGTCTTTTGTTGTTGTTGTTCTTGTTGTTGTTGTTGTTCGATCGGAGCTAAACAATCAATTCACACATAATATTAGAAAAGTTTAATTGATTGATAATTGAACTATTTGTTTCGTTTATCTTTTGACTAAAGAATTATGAAAAAAAAACGAATAAATTAGTATATATTATCAATCAACATATATATGTATAAACACAACAAATGTTTTGTAAAGCAATTAATGATAAAGCCATTAGCAGCCCATATATGTAGCTTAGTTAGTTGTTGATGTGATGGGAAGGCTTATTGTGTGTAATATGTGAGGAAAAAACAGTAAATATAAAAAGTGCTTTCGAACGAAAAAAAAATGAAGAAAAAAGAAAAACTGAAAAAATGATTCACATTTACAAATAGTTTGCATGCAATTTGGCTAAACAATTCGAAATCGGTATTTCAATGAGAACTTTGGTAGATATGATAGTTTTTCTTTTTGGTTTGGATTTTGTTTTTGCTTTTGGATGGTAGTCAGTTTTTGTTTGGAACGATTGAAATGGCGATTTATTTATTTTATTTTATTTTTGTCTTTTTCTACTAGCTTACAAAACTTACAAAACTGTCAAACATTGCAGATATCCATTTTCGATTCGTTAAACTTGCAATTTAGAGCACTATTTGCACTACGAAAAAAACAATCAATCAATTCAAAACAACAAAGAACTAACAAAATTCGAAAAATCGCTAGCCCGATTTTCTCTAGTAGAAATCATTTGCGCGTTATCCTGTGACTCAATCGACTCGACCAAAACGAAAAATTCGATACACACATTTTAAATGTGCTTAATACTATCCATTACACCTGCTTGTTTTTTTTTTACTGTTGTAAGCTAAATACACATGAAGGGGAGATAATATGCAAATATTGATTTTCATTTATAAATAGAGGTTTTCTCACGACGTATCCAACTTCTAACCGAATTATCTCCCCCTCAACAGCCCGATGCGAATAAATGAAGTGCAAACAATTTGCTTTTTTACTACTTTGTTCTATGTAAAATTGTCAAAACCCATGCCACATACTCTCAATTCGAATAAGAAACGACTAGCTGCGAAAAAAACCCAAAAGGATCTTTAAACAAAATGTATCGTTTTTTGTTGTTGTATGTGTGTGTGTGTGTGTGTGTGTGAGTGAGAGAAAAACCAAAATGCGTGAACACTCTTTGCTACTAGTGAAATAAAAAAATCTAATAAATTCCCCCGAAAAACCGTAGTAGTCGTAACGTAGGGACCTAGCGAGACTTGAAGTATGTGTGTGATGAATTTTAAGTTAACATTCGAAAGACCCTTTGTCTAGTATTTTTTTCCCGAAATGATATTAGTGTGTGTGTATGTATGGATTCAAAATTAGCGTTTTATTTTGAACAAAAAATAAAAATTTCAAAAAATGGTCACACGTGGCATATCATAATACATTTTCAAAACGAAACGAACAGAAAATTAATTTCAAAATCAAAAAATGTGAACCAAAAGAAGAATAACATAAAACCACAATCGAAAACAAATAAAACACGTCCAAAACGCGCAAACAACACAATGTTCGAAAATATTTGTTTCTTGTTTTTTTTTTTTGGTAAATAGATTGGTTTGTGTGCGAGTATAGGAATCGACATAGTATGCTTACCGTTGTAAAATGGATGCAGTAGGAAACCACTTTGATTGGCTTTGCTGTTTGGGAAATTTATATTAAATTGTTTTGTTTTAATTGCAAAAAAGAACTGAGAGACTAGAAATTTGGTTTTGCTATTCTGTGTAAGTTTGTAAGTAAGTGTGTGTGTGCGTGAGTTGTTTTTTTTTCTCTTAGATATTTGTATGTCCGGGGAGGCGAAGGGGAAGGTATATATAGGATATATGGGGTATATTCTAAATCTAGCACTCTCTAAAGTGTATTTGTTTCATTTAAATCCTAGTCTTGCAAAAAAAAGTTCATCTATTCTTGTAGATATCAAATCCCTTTATGTTTTCAATCAAAAAATGTCTATGATTACCAACAACAACAAAAGATCGTTCGTTACTAAAACTTTAGAGATTTCATACATTAAATAAAGGGAAACCGGCTAAAGGTGTATTGTGACTACCATTTTCATTGGAATCATTGCAACGCTGATTGGCCGCAATAATCACTCTTCCCAAATGTTATGATGAAATATTAAATAAATTTAAGAAGAAAAAAAAAGTTACAGTTATCCAACAGTACCAAGTTCTGAACGACTGATTCGATTTGTTCAATTTTTTTGTTCTGTGTGTGTGTGTGTCCGGATGAACAGTTGATCCGTTTATTGTTCTTTTTTTTGACATTATTTACATTCAAATTAGCTTTTAGAATTGATTTGTAAATAAAAGCGTACACTTATGAGACACAGATCCTTGGAAACAGACTGACTGTGTGTGTTTCGGCTCCAAGTGTTTCAATGACAGAGAAAATAAATCAAATTAGGAAGAAAATGGTAAAGTTTTTCGAAACAGCGATTTTGGTGGCTGCTTTTTTGCCAATTTTTTCTTCAACCAAAATGAACGTAATAAATTATACTAAACTAAGAAAACGAAAACAAAAATGATGAACGAAAAACAATAGAAATGGAAAGTAGGTGATAGAAGCTAAGAGATTGCGAGACATGATATATCAGTATATGAAAAATGACTGGAATGAATAAAAGAAAATACTTTGATAGATTTTCGATGTGTTTTTTTAAATGGCTTTTCTTTTTGGCTGCGATTTTTTTTGTTTGTTTTTGTTGATAACTTTAGCAATTCTATGTTGATAAAAACGATCACAATTTATGTTTGTTTGTTTTTGGTCAATTGGTTTTGTTCAATTGAGAAATGATGAAATATGCGATAAGAATCTAGATATACACATTAAGATAAAATTGCGGCTGATTTTGTGTGGTTTGCGTGTTTATTTCTCTTTTCGTTTTTTTTTTTTAAGAAATAAAATGGAATTATTGTGAATATGTGTGTGTGTAAACTTACCCATTGGTCGGCATATTTTGTGAAACATTCATGTTGTAATTGTTATTGTTGCTCATTACAAGCGGTCGCAATGGTATATTCTCTTGGCCACGAGTCTGTAGTTCACCGGTACTGTTGATCGGATCACCCGCACTGTCACTACCAAATTCAGCACCTTCACCATATCCACCGGTTTGCATTAGTGTTTTTGTTATGTGATTCATGCCTTCGGACACCACTTGACGCATTGAATTGTACAAAAAGTCATTATCTGCATCGGCTTCGGCATCGGCATCGGCCTCGCTCATTGGATCCATACCATAACGCTTGTTCATTTTACCATTTGCTTGCTTGTTACCTTTACCGCCTAGACCACGTTTACCGAACGGTGCCTGCCCTTTTCGTCGCATCGACGACCACACACTTCCGAATAGGGTGTGATTTCGCTGCAATAGAATCGAAATACAAATGGTTAGCACAAAGAAAATCATAATTTCCAGACAAAAAAAAAAAAAATCTCCGCCAATCAAACTACATACCCGATGCATTGGCTCTGGTTCTTCGATCAGTTCATCCAAATTGCCCGAAATGGCTCGTTTCAACTCTGGCCCGGCTTCGTGTAATGTGCGCAAACCGGCCTGAAGCGTCACCGTAGCATTCGCATCACCGGAACCGTCTTTCAGTTCTTGTTCCTTGCGCTTTTTGAATCGACGGAAGTAGTCTTGAATCAAGAAAGTTGCATAGAATTTTCCAACGGTGACTTCGTCATCAACACCTGGCGGCGGTACCACTTGATCAAGTAGCTTTGGATTGGTTCGTTTCCAAATCTGTTTAATAACCGCACGGAGTTCGGTGTTTGCATCATCGATGTTACCTTCCGTTTTGATTTTCAACGATGTTCGCACAACGGCAAACAATGTGGCATTGAACAGAACCGTTCCATCGCTATTCAATGGCATATTCATTGATACCAGCCGCTTGCAAGCCACTCGATGCGGACACAATTTTCCAAAACCGAGTGGCGGTGATATTTTTCGCAGCAATGTGACCACATCCAAATGTTTGATACGACCCTTGGCATCTGGATCATATTCACTCCACAATCGAATAAATTCGTCCAAATGATGTGGCCCCAAGATTGACCAATCCCGTGTCAAATAATCGAAATTATCCATAATAACCGCCACGAATAAGTTGATAATCAAAAATGAGCACAATACATAAAATGAGATGAAGTATGGAAATGCGGCCGCTGAACCGCAATTATCCGTTGAGTCGGGCGAATCGCCGGGCATTTGTACACAATTGCCCTCCTCATCGCTCGCACAAGCCATCATAATCTCTTGCCACGCCTCGCCCGTGGCCGATCGAAACAACACCAACACCGCTTGCGGAAACGATTGAAAGTTGTTATTCCGAGTGATTATCTCATCGTCCAGTTTGATTTTACCAAATAGCTGAAATAAAAACGGGGAATCGATTAGGGCTTCTTAAAAACTTGACATGAAGTGCGATAGAAACAAAAAAATGACGGAAAAATCTATTAATTTCATTCGAATTTGAGCAGAGGAAATCAGCCAGACATCGACAGGTCGTTCGATGATAATTTACCTGCATTCCAATGACCGCATAGATGAAGAACAACATCACAATCAACAATGCAACATATGGAAGCGCTTGGAAGGATTTGATGAATGTCCAGAGTAGCGTTCGAATACCTTCGCCTCGACTCAGCAATTTCACCAAACGCATTACACGAAACAGTCGGAAGAATAATGTTATCGAAATGTTCTGCAAATGGATGGAATGGAGAAATTTGTGTGAAAACTTGATGGCAAATTCCAATGAAATTGAAAGAGAAAACGGGAATTGTATTGAAAATGAAAACCAAAATGAAAATGAGAAAAACGTAGAAACGAAAAAGGTAGAATGAATTCGAAAAGAAATGCTATTAAGCATAAAATTTACCTTTGCATTGGTCGCTGCCACTGAATTTATCGTTTCTTTCTTGACGCCTTTATCGATTTCTTCTTTTCGATCAATTTCCGACATCATGATATCGATGAAACTGCCCAACACCACAATAAAATCGAACACGTTCCACGCGTCACCGAAGTAGTTCTACATGCAAAATATACAATTTAGAAGGAGAAAATGCGAATGAATATCATTTATTTGCGGATAGAAATTCTAATATCCGGAAAATGTTGATGTAAGTGTGTGTGTGTGTGTGTACCTTAAATCGGAATGCAGCCAATTTAAAGACGAACTCCATTGAGAACACAATGGTGAATATCAAATTTAGTACATCCAGCATGTCCGTGTACCATTGTTCTTGTCCATGGAATTTCATGGCCAGCGTTACGGTATTGATGATAATCAATATGAATATGGCATATTCGAATGGTTCGGATGTGACAAACCACCACAGTTTGTATTGAATCCGATGCTTGGGTATGTATCGGCGGACTGGTTTCGCTTTCAGTGCAAATTCAATACAATTTCGCTGATTTTTATCCAATTCACAGTTTTTGTACTCTTGTTCGCCCTCATTTTGGAACGTAACAATAACAAAACCGACGAAAATATTAACCATAAAAAATGCTATTATAATGATGTAAATTATATAATACGTGGCAACGATTGGACGGAAATTTTCTATTGGACCTTTGTCTTCTTCGTTCGAATCAATCGACACGTACAAAAGCCTACAGCGGAGAAGTGGGTGAGAAAGAGAGAGAGAGAGAAGAAGATAACGATAAAGAGGGAGAGAATAAAAGAAACCAGGAGAAATGACATTAAATTTAAATTAAATTATAATTTTAATTCATCAGTAATTGGAAAGCAATAAAAACTAAGGCTTTAAAAAAAAATTCGCAATTCGTTCGACGAGCGTTAAATGTTTGAAAATTCAAATTAAATTGCTATTCAAAGTGAATTAATAATAAATGAGAAGAAATCTTCTTGATGTTGATACTTAATCGAAAGAGAATAAGTCCATGTTTTGCGAATAATAATAAAACTCACCCTGGCCATCCTTCGAATGTTGATACTGTGAATAATGTGAGCATCCCTTTTGCAACATTGTCGAAGTTGAATTTATTATTGACCCATTCACGTTCTTTGATGACCGGCGTGGTGACTTGCCCATTTTCGAATACAAGATATGTACCACTGTGTAGGGAATGGGAATGAATGTCAAAAAAATGACGAATGAATGATTTTTGTCGTAAATATGTCAAAAAAATTTTGACTCAAAACAGAATCACGCAAAATTTTGACTCAACATTTTTGACTCAAATAAAATCAATGTTTAGAGAGGATTTTTTTTGTCATTCCTCAAATATCAATGAGAAAGGTAAAAAAAAATCGAAGAGAATCAAAAAAAAAAAAGAAAATTTGACTAAAATCAAAAATGTGTGACACTTACTTGCAAGTGGCCTCCGTCATCATCGATTGATCGGAACAACTTCGGAATTTGCCCTGCATCGAAAGAAACAAGTGAATATCACTACGAAAATTGTGTACGAAACCGAAAAAGTAATGTGCTTGTTTTCTGACTACTCTCGCCAAGCTCTGTTGAGTTGCAGCCACTTAAAGTTTAATTATCACTACACATCCACACAAACAAAAGGCTACATAGAAATCGGTTAATATCGATCGGTTAGATGTACCAATGTCAATGGTAAACATACATATCAGAAAATAACATAAAAGCGTTTTATCATAACTCGGTGCATTACCATAGAGCTGACATGCATACACCCAAAATAAATCATTGCTATAAGTATACAATTATATAAAAAAGAAGCAGATATTAAAAAAAAAAACATTCGATAAATGTGATAGAATGAAAAGTTCAGTTTTCGGTTTGTTTCCTTTTGTATTTATAGGTCGTTCTCTGGTTTTCTCCATTGGTTTTGTTCAACTTGATTGTTGGTGTGTTGTAGTTCATTTGAAAAAGCAAAGCGCATCCAAGCCAATGCATAGAGCAGTCTCCATGAGTAAAACATGCATTTGTCTTAAAATCAATTTGTACAGATATTGAACAAAGAATTGAAATGTTTAGCGAAAATGAAAAAAAAGAGCCAGCATAGTTTGGCCTTAAGTAAGCCTTGCCCCTTTACATTGTTTACACAGAAAAAAAAACACACAGATTCTTTGAACCAGATATGTTGTCAAGAACCTGATGATAGTTCCTTGCGTGAATGAACCAATGAAGCATTGTGAAACGGAGTTTTTCTGTCTCGAAAAAAAAAATGCAACGGAGATTTTTCATTTCTTTAGCGCAATTCCTGTTGAAGTGAGTTGTCAATCAATCGCTTTCAAAAAAACTTCTATCGAAAAAAAAACAACGTTTCTCGAAGAATGACGAAAAAACGAGTTTTGTGTCAAAAATGAAAAACAAAAAATGGAGTTTAATGAGAGAAAAGACCATTAAAAATCGCAGATTGGTTCGGTTTTCTCTTTGTTTCTAACGAAGCATTCTCTTTTCTGCATTGATAAACTTTCCTTTTCTCTTCCCTTCATTAAAATACGATCAAATTGGATGTCGGCGAATTAGAAAAAAATAACAATCAGATAAAACATTAACAATGTTTGTGTTATTTGAAACCAAATGACCATTGAAAAAAAAAATGCTTTTTTTCTTCTCCTTGAACAAAAAAAAATTAAATAAAGAGAAATTCAATACACATTCTATTTTGAATATTGGGATTCAATTAAAATGCAACATAAGCGACAGTTTCATCCATTTTAAATTACTACAAAAAAATGTCCATCAAGTACGAGCTGCATTCAGATAATGGATCAGCCGCGACTCTTTTCCATTGTTTCGATAACCGAACAATAAGAAAAACAGCTAGATACTGCCATGCCATTATCTGAACGTTATTATCCATTTAACAAAAAAAAAAAAGAAGAACAGATTGACAGATATCGTGCGTGCGTTTGTTTGTTTGTTTTTTTTTTATACTCTGGTCTAACATTTTGCTAAGAGAGTTTTGTGTGCATTGGATTTTAAAAATGGTTTTACCTTGAACAGTTGTACCCCAATCACAGCAAACATAAATTGCAGCAGATATGTAACCAACATAATGTTACCGATCGTTTTAATTGCAACAATAACACATTTCACTACATACTATTTGGTTTGTTTGTCGATTGGTTCGGTTGGTGTGCAGTGCAAAAAAAAGGTAAATCCAAAAAAGTAGCGATACCAAGATCGAGAAAAACAAAAAACAAATTGTGCCGAAAAAAAAGGTACGAATCAAAATCACAACGATTTGGAACGAAAAAAAAAACGTTTGTTGCACAAAAAAAAATGTTATTGGTTGTTTTTTGATCGGGGTTGTTTTTTTTTTTATTTCAAGCCGTTTTATTGTTGGTAAATAGCGTCACACATTCCGCAAAATCCATTCCGTAATTATGGGGTATTTTGTTTGTGTTCGTTCAAAAGTAAATGGAGGGGTCAAAATGCGGTCGCATTTGGACGATGTGTTTTTTTTTCCACGTGTTACGAATAAAAAAAATGTATAGAGATAGCCAAAAAAAGGACGAATTAGCGCACACACACACGTATTTGGAGGAAGAGATTTTTTTTTTTTTTTTCATTCGGTTTTCGGTCGTAGTTGAGACATATTCATTCAATCGATTGGTTCAGATCGCATCGGATATTCAATCGGATTCAGCAGCACAGGTATGGAAAAATATAACAACAATAAAATCATAGAGCAAAAGTTTGTTTGTTTCACTGAATATGTATATTATTTTATGAGGTGATGTCAAAAAAAAATTCTAGTTCTTTTTTCTTCTTATTCTTGTAAAATGCATTCACAATTCAATATTCATTATCAACAGGTGTGTCTTGTAGTTCAATACAAATGGGAAAAAGCAAAGTGTCTTTGTTTGCGCCGCATTTTTCTGATTGAGTAGTATTTTTTTTTTTAAATCTATGATTTCAAACGAAGCAAAACAAAAATAAAACTAATCATAAAGCAATTGTGGACGAAAAAAAAAAAAAAGTTGAGGCGGGAATGAAGAGAAAGAGAGAAAGAGACAGGAGAGGGCTAGAAGCAAAGGGGGAAAAACACTCCAAACTTATTTTAGAAAATTCAATCGGATTTTTTTGGCGTTTTTTTTTATTTCTTTTTTCGCTCCAGTGGTAGGCAGTACCTACTAGGCACTAAAGTTTTTTTTTTGTACTCATTACATGTCATCAAAAGCTTTCTTTACACGAAATGAACCACATGAATTTTTGGCCAATTTGGGGTAAATGATGTGAAATGAATCGGTAAATTTTCAGCACGAAATCACTTTTGATGGGGTTGCCCATACTATTTCAAATGATGTTATTATTGAAAGATTTTTTGGTAGCGAAAAATCGGACAATATTGATTTCCTAAAGTGATCGGTTACGAGTATTTTCATACCGAAATCTGATAAAGACAAAAAATAATTTGGAATTTTTTCAATTTGACACAAAATGATTTTGTATCAATTTCCCCTAGGCTACAAGCTACTATTTTATTGAAGCCATTTGGTGCAATGTATTCGAAAAAGAAAATGTGTGAAAGAGTGAAAGAAACTGAAGGTGAACTAAGTCGCTGCCGTTAAGAAATGTTGTGTTGGTACTAAGTTATAGGAACTCGAAAATGAATATTAAATTATAACTTTTCTGAAAGGCTTTAAATGTTCCATTGTTTAAGTGACTCCTTTTATTTTGGTGAAGATAAAATGCGGAATCAATTTAAAATTGTCGTTACTCTTTTATAGAGACGACAACAACTTTAGCTACAGTGGACTCTACACCAAGTTTCTTTGTATTTAAACTCAATCATATGAAAGTGTAAATGAAAAATGAATGGAATACCCTATCCCTTTTCATTGCCAATAAATGTAATGAAACTTTTTTATTCTTCAAAAGGGTTATTTGGTGACCAAATTTTGGTCAAAACCAAAGAAAAAGTGTCACTTTTTCGATCGGAATCATTTCTATTTCCTTTGCCAGTAATGAATATTAAGTGCAGTAAAGAGATGAAGATGTCCCTCATCTTCTAAAGGTCGCTAAAAGTGTAGAAAAATTGGAAATTGTCTTCGTTGAATCAACGATGTTGATTGCATTTGAAAATTGGTACGGTATCGTCGAAGAGAGTGAAAGCTTTAAATGACAAAAACAAGTGCAAAAACTATGGGATTTTCGGGCGGAGGGAATAAAACACACGCTTTTTTTATACTAGATGCTTGTCAGCTTTGGTTTATGAATGGATAAAAAGAATACACGCACATAAACACGAAAGATTAATGCAAAGGGGGCTCACACACAAATTTCTTTTTGTTTCACTTTTTTTTTCTTTGTCTAATTAAAATGATTCGTTTAACCTCAAAAATAGGATTGGACAGCTTGTTTGCAAAAAAAAGAAGCACAAACTAACTTGTTGCACGCATAATTCCGATTTGTGTTTGGCTTGAAAATAATTTAAAAAAAAAACTCATTGGATACATTTGCAAATCAGCATTGGTTTTTTGGGCTCCACATGTTCGATTGTTTGTAATAATTTGCAAACACAATGGGTTCGAATGAAATTGGTTTGGCAAAGCAAAAGTGTATGCATTGATGCAGTCTCACAAGCATTTTGGTTTGCAATGAAATCGGGAGCAATATTTGTCATTTTATCGGTAGAACGTAAGAGTAGGAAGCGCCATTGCAAGGTGTTTGGCAAACGAATATTTTACTTTATGACGATATAAGGTATAGAATTTCGGGAATATACATATATATGTCGATGATGGATTATGGAATATTTAAAACAAAACAAAATTTCCATGAATTGATCGATTATTATTATAATTATTGACATGTCACAATGATATAATTTAATGGACATTATTTGTTATTGTTCGGTTCGGCCCGCACACACACACACACACACAGACTCACACGCACACCAAATAACATGACGAATCACATCAAGCCACGATGCGGATTTATTTTTGTGCATTTGTTATGGTGTTTGTATTGTTTTTCTTTTTGTTCAGGCTAGAAACCCAATGAAGATTAAGGTAATAATCACTTGACTACGGATCAAAAACAGAAAGAAAAAAAATATAAACTCAAAATCAAAACCAAACTTAACACAAATCAAAAGTTAAATTTTAAAATAAAACACAGCACACGATAATACGGAAAACTAAAACAATGATATGAAAACCATTACATTTTACAGAGAAAATAAGAGAACAAATTGATAAAACAAAACAATAATAATCTAACAAGATAATCAAGTTCAATGGAACCGATACCAAATACTTGGAGCATAAGTAGCAAACGGATTGATTACGGCATTAAAAATGGTAGATGTTAAAGTTATTTGATTGTTTTTTCTGTCGGTATTCTAAATTCGTACAAGTTCATGTTCACAGAATCAAGCATTCGATGTTCGAAAGCATAAAATTTTCTCGCTTGCTCGTTTGAATAATTGACATGGATGCTGTGAATTCGAAGGATTTCATCAGAGATTTTTTCTTGAATAAAAACGTTTCTGCATAAGACGTTCTGGCTTAAGAACGAGAGCGTTCTTGCCAAGTTTTTGCCATTTTGAAGAAATTTTGAATTGAAAATTAGGAAAACATGCAGATCAAATATTTCAAATTCTTATTGAAATACATTTCTTTTTTTCACTCGAAATGAGCAGAGATCAGCATCAAAAATGAAATATTGTGATTGATTTGGATTCAATTTTACATCTCATTGTAAAATATTCAATGACGGGAAAAAGATATCGAAAACTTCACTGAAGCCCCTTGAGCCATTTAACAAAGTGGGATCATTTCCTTATGACAGACTTCACGAAAAATTCGTTTATGTTTACGAGTACGTTGACCTCAAGAATGAATGACATTCGAGTGGATTCGTCTTCTTTGGTTTTTGCGATGACTGTGCGCAAAAATGCGATGTAGATTACATCGAAGTGCTGCTGAATAGATTAATGACACAAACGAAGAAATAAATGCGATGCATAAAACCATGTGGTACGCATTTGATTGGATCATCAAAAATTCAAATGAGCTGAATGTAACGTTGAATTTCCTATTGAACAACAGTGAAAATCACGCCAATTTCACCACCACAGTTCGATCGTAGCTTCTTTGAAATGAAGGAGTGCTGTGAGAAACTGAGCAAAAAATAGTGCGGGCGGTAAATTCGGAAATTTTTCCGAAGTAAAAGGCGAAGGAAAATTTGAAATTCGATATTTTTCTTCCAAAGAAGAAATCGACAGTAAATCCTGTACTTTAGTTGGCCGTCCAAGGCATGCTGTATTTAAACTGTCATTTGATGGAAATTCCATTTCGATTGTCATCAAATAAATTCTGCGACAATGTCCTTATCGAATACATTGTTGTTTGGTTTGACGAAAGAAAAAAACTTTAAATAAAAAAAAAGATGGACACAAAACGAATGCAATCAATGAATAAAACACAAAATAGGAACAAAACCATATAATGTTCGATAAATATGAATAAAAAAATGCTAAAAGAAAACGTATTGTTTAGTTCTTAGCTTGCGTGAAGCATATTTTGATTGATAATTTTCAATGTTTTGGTATATTCGGTATATTTAGACTCGTTTGTGCAATTGGGATTGTATTTGTATTTGGTTGCAATCATTTTATATTGGCCTTTATTCAGTTGTTTGTTTATTTTTTTATCCAATAAAAGGTTTGTTTTTTTTTCGATTCTAGTTGAGTTGACGTCTGTTAAAAAAGAACATTGCCTACCTTAAACAATTGTACTCCTATAACAGCAAACATGAATTGAAGAAGACATGTTACAAGTACAATATTCCATATAGTCTTTACAGCGACTATAACACACTGCACTACATGCTACAGTAATGAAACGAAATTCCAAGAGAGAAAGAGAGAGAGAGAGAGAGAGAAAGAAAGAAAAAAATAACATTTGTTTCCCGTTATGAAAGAAAGAAAGAAGAAAAAAATGAATGAAAAGAAATCAAAATGATCGGAATGAGATGAATGCAACAGTAAACAGAGAGAAATAACAATGAAACATAAAAGGAAAACACGAACGAAAAATGGCGGACTGTATTCGAGACAAATGTGATGCAGACATTCGAATGCCTTGTTCGTACGTTGTCTTCATTTTTATGAGTCCGGTCTACATTCCGTTGTCAAAACATAAAATCATTACGAAACGCAAAATCTTAAAAGACAATCAAAACAAAGTGGTCGGTTGGATCGTTTTAGAACATAATAAAATGTCATTACTTTTTGACAAAGACAATGAGAGACAGAAGAAAAAAAATCCAATAATTTTTTTATAGTTTTCTTGAACTATTAAAGCACATTCAAGGAGAAATAATTTCAAGTCCAACCGCTTTCAAAAGTCCGGAAAATTTCGCACAATTTTCATCGAGCCAATCGTTTGCTCACTCTAGGAATTCTTCTACAGCCAAAAGTAGCATAATTCGAAACACTAACAAGTGTTTAGCTTTAAAGTTTACACCGACAACATTTACTACTTTCAATTACAGAAGCACTCTTATAGTGTTTTTGTGTTTTGTTGTTGTTCGATAGAATTACAGTGAGAGTTAACTGAGTGCATGTGTGTTACAGCCCCCATTGCATTTACGATTTGCAACAAGTTTATTTTTGTTTCAAGAAACATTTCGTCCCGTCGATCGATTTTATGAATGCAAGTTCTTCTTTGATAGAAATTCAAAATTAAAAATGTTTAATCAAAAAAATGACAGATTAAAAAAAAACAAATTAAAACTATACAGGGTTTCCGCCGCAATATAATCTTCTCCTCCTTCGATGGTTTTTGAGAGCAATACACATTTGCTTGTTTGTTTTTTTTTTCTTCTGAAAATGCTTGAACATTTTTTTTAGACAATATTATGGATGATGGAAAAAGTTTTTTCTCCTTCGAAATACTTCGAGGAACTGTTTTTTTTTTTGGATTGCTTCAAAAAAAAAGTAGACACCAACTGAAAGGGTCGTTATTCGAAAGAAAAAGAAAACCACTCCAGTTGAACAGGACAATAAAAGTCATCAATTCAATCACAGTGAATGCTTATCCACACGGGCTGACGCATTGAGTTTTTCACACGACGTATTTAAACGATTTGTGAGGAATCGTACAAGTACATCTCTTTGATGCATCCGCTGATTTTACCGCCTTTGATAATGAATATTAGCTAATTTTGGTAGAATTTCTTTCGTACGTTTTTTTTTGTGGTGTTTTACTATTAGTTAAATGACAACAACAAACTGGTAAACGAATGCAATTACCTTAAGCCCTTTGGCACGATTGATGGCACGTAACGGTCTCAGCACACGGAAGACTCGAAGAATTTTGATGGAGCCCAATGTTGCACTGCCGCTACTCTTTTTACCACCTGTTTCACTTGCAGCTGGTAGGAGACTGGTGACGGCGGGATGTGGAACAAAAAAGGAGAAAATGGACATAAGGGATAAAATAGAATAGAAGTGAGAAAAAAAGAATAATAATAGAGTAAGAAATAAAAAAAGAGCTTAAAAAATCCGTTGCCGGATCTGGATATTGTTTAAAAGCAGTGCCGCCCTGTGCAAATCGTTCTTTTGCCGCCTCAATGCATTGAATTTATCATTTCAGCCTTGTGCCGCTACGTACAAATGCACGGCTTACACGTGCCCAGATCCGGCACCAGAAACATCATAATTCTCTTGAATAATAAATCAAAATAGTCTTTACAAAAATCGAGTTGTACTTACTCTGTATAGACGGATATCAGTGATACCACAACGACTAGCAAATCAAGTAAATTAAATGCTGATCGACAAAATGATCCTTTGTGCAGTATGAATCCGTATGTGATTAATTTCAATAGTAGCTCCACGGTGAAGATGAACACAAAGATGTAATCGAGATATTTGAGTGTCTATCATAAGAGAGTCAAAGTAGAAATCAGTTATTAATATTATAAGTGAATATTTGGGTTTGAAAAATTAAAAAAAAGAGAGAAAAAACACATAAAATATTTTTCAAATTAATGAAAAAAAAAAATCTACGAAAATAAAAAAAAAATTGAAAAGAAAAGTCACAAAAAAATTACTTGTCCAGGAGGTTCAATTGGCTTCTCAACTGCTAACAGTGCTGAGGAGCACATGATACATAGCAATATGACATTTCCGAATGTGCTGTGATTTACTAGCCAATGGCAAAATACTCGAAATCTGCAGCATTATTGGATACACGAGTGAAGTGGGGGGGAAAATAGATACAAAAAAATCTGTTAATATACTTCGTATTGAATGAAAGGGCAAAAAGAACTGGCACTAGTCAATATAGCTACTATAAAGGCAGACATAGGATGAAAACACGGGACTGATTGACATTTTATGAAGCTGAACAAAATGTATTGATCTTCCAAAATGGATAGTGTTTGTTGTCGACATCGTTAATGATCAAGTGCAAATAAAATGTTTGAAGCAAAATGGGAGTTTTCAGGATATTCAAAAACTGTAACACTTCAAGGGCAAATACATTGCACGATTGGCTTTGATTGATCTGGGATGAAACGGAGACACAATGTTTTTGTTCGGTGCTTGCGTGCAATTGAAACCAAGGTTTTGTTGTTTGTTAGTGGTCACTGAATTTTGTTTTTCGTTTTTTTTTTATTTAGCAAAAGAATATCAAAAATCAATTGTCTTTTGAGGGGCGTGGGGAACTAGCAATGGGTATTTTGGAGTAATATGGCGAACAAATTTTCAACGAGCTCACGAACAAATCATCTACATAAGCGATTAGCGGTTCCTTTTTTTTATCATTCGAAACAAATGGCTGTGAATAAGGATAATAATTGAGTTATATCAAACGTTTTTGTTTTTTTTGCTGTTTGGTAAAAATTGGAATTGTGGAGAGTGTGTGTGTGTGCGTGTGTTTTTTTTTCGTAAATTGAACGATCGGTTTTGGGTTTCATCACACCTGTTACTTTGTGACAATATAAAGTAAGAAGATCCTTCCGGGATCGGCAGAATGGGCGTGGGTGGATCTTGAATTTCCGACATTCGTCGCGGTCTTGCCGATACGGTTGTATTATTATTGTCTTCACCATTTTCAATGATTTCTTTTGATTCTTCTTCTTGGTCTGTATGGATTGTTCCATCGAAAAAGAAACATAGTTCGATATGATTGAGCAACAAAAATATTGATTTGATTTTTAAATGAATCGATATGGGACAGACACATTGCTTTTTAACTAGTTTCTATGCGATGCCCTACAGTATAAGACATGAAAGCAGGTACAGTGGCGTGAGCTGAACCACTGGATTTGTATTTTTATTTGTGTGCCAAGGTGTCGACGAAATTGGTTATTTTTTTTATCCCGCTATCCTGTGTGTGTGCATCGATGCCTTATTTATTGATTTATTTTTTTTTTGGTTAAATGCCAGTGATTACGTTGCGTTGCTACTGTTACCTGTTTGTGTGTGGTATTAGGAAAAAGGCTTTTTCCTTGGGCAGTGGCTTGGCCGTCGTTTTGATGCTCACTTCAGATAGCCGGCGCGGTCGTGCTGTTGTCACTGTTTCATGATTATAATCCTTTCGTTTTTCTAAATGTGCGATTTGTTTTCGTTTTTCGATATACATACATTTATACTTCTAAACATTGAGCCTAACTACAACTAACTGACGAAACAGTTTTTTTCTGTGTTTTTTTTTCTTTTCACCTATCTCTTTTCTAACTCAACTCAAACTGATTACAAACGGAAAACATTTCTCAATTCTCAATTATAAATTCTCAATTCTCAATAATAAGAATATATGAACGAAATTTCAGAAGAAAAAAAAAATGAAGCACACAACACAAGACGAACTGACCAACACAAATTTTACCTTGACCATCATCTTCGTAGCCTTCATCGTCTTCCAAACGAATCTTTGTCTCCGAAAACGATTCTTCGTCACTCCGGCTGGTGGAACAGTAGCAGATTGATTTTCGAAACCGGATATTTTACCATAGAAAGATGAAAAAATCGATGGAAAATTGAAAAAAAAAGGTAGATAAATATGAAAATCAAGTGAAATCACGTGATTTTTTTTTCTCGAAAAAATGCAATTGTTTGTGTCACACTCACAAGTTTTCATCGATATCATCGATTTCGATGTCATGTAAATCATCCAAATCGTCAAGCATCGGCGTCGGACTGTGCGATTTTGATTTGTTTTCATCTTCCTACAAGTATTCAAATTCATATTAGTAGTGTTTTGATGAATTTGTACAAATTTTGAAATATTTAGAGATATGAGACTACATTGTCTCATTCGAAAAAGTGTTTTGAAGACTCATTTCTCATGTGCCATAGATGGAGTTAAGCAAAAAATTGTGAACTTACACCCTCTTTGACCACTTCGGTGAGTGAATCGGCATCGGCCAAATTATCGACAGCAATGGCCAAGAAGACGTTCAGCAGAATGTAGTTACCGCAAATGAATAGGATTATGAAATAAATGCTAGCAACAGCACCTTTGAATCCAACGCCATCATATGCCAGAATACCGTTATACATAACTGCATTCCAATCTTCACCAGTCAATATCTAGAATATCGAGGGATAAGAAATTGCGCATTAAATTTAATTGAACAGTTCGGCCAGTGTTTTGCATCATATAACTTTTATCACTTACCTGGAATACCGTCAGTAAACTTTGCCAAAACGTATCAAAATTGGACCGTGGTTTGACTTCTTGTTCATTGAAATTGAATCGGCCGCCAAACACTTGCATGCCCAGCAATGAGAATATCACAATGAACAGGAAGAGCAGCAACAAAAGTGATGCAATCGATTGGATGGAGTTCAGCAGTGAGGCGACCAAATTGGATAGTGATCGCCAGTATCGGGTCACTTTGAAGACACGTAACAGACGCACACAACGCAACACGGACAATCCAAGCGGTGGCATCAATTCATATTCAGTCAATAGCATTTCGAATATGCTGCCAAACACGACAAAACAATCGAAACGATTGAACAGCGACACAAAATAACCTTGAAAACCTAAACTATATATTTTCAGTAACATTTCCAATGTGAACAGTGTTACAAACACCATGTTGGTTCGGTCTTGGAATCGATCAAGAAATGGCGGCTGATTGTGATGTTCGGTGGCCAATACGCCCGTATTTAGAAACACTAATAAAATGATAATCCAGTAAAATGCCTGCGATTTAACGGCTTTTCGACAGGCACGTCGCATCCGTCGATTTATTCGATCAAAGTCTTTTTTCCATTTTCTCAGCCAATGCTCTTGCAAACGTTCACCAATCTCTTCGCCCAGCTGATCGGTCGAGTCCATCAGATCATTTTGCACTTTTCCTTTGCCACTTTGTAGTATTGGTCCTTCAGCCTCCGGTTCAATGTCTTCGGCTTGTGTTATCCAATCCAAATAGCCGCGCAGATCCTCTTCGATCTGTTGCTTTTCGCGCAATTTCTGGAAATCACCACGATTTTTCGCCTTTGTACGCTCTTTTGAGAATTCTCTGTGGTGGATCAAGTATGCAAAGGTAGGAATTAATTGGATTGTTGTGCATTTTTTTCCACAGTTTTTAAAAGTTTTCTTTGCTTAACTGAACTATTGTTTTTTTTTTTTTTTTTTTTGTTCAACTACCAAAACCATTCTTAGCTAATGTACTCACCCGCTCAACACACCAAGAATTAGATTCATAACGAAGAATGCACCCAAAATAACCATCGATACGAAGTAAATCCATTGCCATGTATTACCAGATGAATCTTGAATCCAATATCTAAACAAATTACGTGTAATTCATTGAATCAAATGTTGATGAGCTATGATTTTTAAAAGAAATACATACAAAACATCGGTCCATCCTTCAAGTGTAATACACTGAAACACTGTCAACATGGCCAGTCCAAAGTTATCGAAATTCGTGATGCCGTCATTTGGTCCATCCCATGCGTCCTTACCGTTTTTTGACGTACAAACATAATTATTATTCACATCGTCTGGATCGATTGGACAGTTATAACCAACCCCTGCGTCTGGACTACACGGCTGAGGATCAGATATGAGCTCTGTAAATGAAATGTCAATGTGAAGAAGAATATTTGGATTATTGTTGTTTTAAATAAATGTAGATATTTTGGCGTAGATTGACATTTTATACAACCAATATAAAAGGATTGCGGGAAGAATCTCGCAAAGAAATGGTGTTACCTTGTGTTTGTGAGTTGTAGCAGGCTGCGTGGAGCTTACCGGAAAATAATTCTAAGCCAATAATAGCGTAAATTATAATGACAAATATGACTAAAAGGGCAATATGTAATAAAGGCACCATAGCACGAAGAATTGAATTCAGTACGACTTGAAGACCTGAAACACAAAGCAATAAAAAAAAACCAAGCCATATTAATTGTGTGATATGTTTTTTTTCTTCTGTATAGAATTTAACATCATTTGGTTAAACAACAATATCTATTGTATGTTGTAATCGAGAACACATACTTGGAACTCCTGAAACTAAACGCAATGGTCTTAACACTCTAAATGCTCTTAAAGCTTTCACATCGAAACCATCCGGCATCATGTTCTGTAGAAGGGCACTCAGCATTCTGTTGGGAACAAAGAAAAACACACACACACACAAATCAATAATTAATTTCCATTTGTCGACATACGTCGATTCAACACTGCAAACGCCGAACGAAAAGAGTCGCTGCTGGGCGAAAATTGTCGTTCAAATGACAAAAGTGAATCGCATTAATCACTTACCCAATGACTACGATGAAAAAATCTAATAAATTCCATCCGTTTCGTAAATAAGAACCAGGATGCATCACAAAACCGAATGCAATAATTTTCATAACACATTCCGAGGTAAAAATAAACATAAATATATTCTCCACACTTTCTAACGACGTATTTGTTATATTTGAATCACCAGAGGGATACGGTGTGAATATGGCTAATGCTATACAATTCGCAAAAATTGTCAGCAAAATTATATACTCAAATGTTCTGTTGGTTGACGATTAATTGGTAGTGGTGATGATGATGATGATGATGATGATGGTTGATACGATTGAGATTAAGGAAAATAAATTTGATTGCAAATATTCTCTTAGTTTTGAATATGAGAATAAATGAAACGGAAATGAATGGCACATAAATGTTTATGGCAAGTTGTTTTGCTACGATACTCTTGCAGTTTTGCGCGTCGACAATTGATGCAACATATTATTTACATTTGCAACGCTAGAAATCGATTCAAAAACATTAAATGTTTGATAAGTTTGTAAAACTTTATTTTCGTGATTGACACGTCTTCAGTGTTGAATCGTGAAAAAAATGTTATGTTTTCAAATAGTAGACAAGCAAAACTGCAGAATATGTTATAAATTCACTTTCTGCAAGTGATTCATCTTCTATCCCGAGGGAAAGCGACACTTTTCGGTTGTTTCATAAAAAAAGGATACTTCCATTCGACTATTTCAATACACAGTTTTCGTAGGGGATTTTTGAGACCCAAACAGAAAAGCGCCCGAACGGGTCGTTCGGGTTGGGCTTTACCGCCGCGTCGAACGGGTCTTTTTGGTGGTGCCGGTATCGTTGACTGTGTTGCACCGGCAATGGCTGTGGCGGTTGTGGATGGCGCTGGACCGCCCATTCCTCCGATTCCGAGAGTGTCCATGCCTCCATTAGCAGTACCATTATAATTGCTCGCCATTTTACGATTGCGGAAAAATAATGACCGTCCTCTGTGAATGGAAATTCGGAAAGTAATAAAAGTTAAGATCAACGAATTCGAATTCGACAAGAGATGAAAGTAGAAAGTGAGGAACGCATAAAAAATAATGGCAATTTACACTAAATCACTGATGTTCCTATTATTATTATTATTATTGTTATTCTCTAGCTTAGATGATGTGAGCGGTGCTGTGACAGCCGATAAACCAGCGGTAATTGGTTTTTCAACCGTTACCGACTGATGCTGCTGTTGCTTCTGTTTGATTTGTGGTTGTAATGGTTGGGCCGCTGTGTCGGCGTCGTCGGCGGCCGCGTCGTCGTCGTCGTTAACAAAATTGGCGTCGAAATTTGATTCGGCTCGGATTGCTGTAGACGCTGAACTGCCGACACTAATTGTTGTGTCCGGTGACGGTGAGGATGCCGCTTGCTGCTGCTGCTGCTGTGGTTTGGCCTTTGTTTCGTTTTCGTTTGGTGAATTTCCTCGGCTGCTACTGTTATTAATTTGCTTTGACACTTGTTGAATAAGATTTGATGTTGGGCTTTCGCTATGTCCGTTGCGATGATTATTCTCTTGATTTCGCTTTTGGTTTGCAACCCTATTGAAATCACTGCCCGTTTGTTGCGTTTGAAATGTACTTTTCCTGGCTGAACTATTTTCGGCTGCCTGATTCGAATCAGAGTTGTCAGATTTACAATATTCATGCTGGTCCCCTACGTAATAAGAAACAATGACGAGAATAAACGGGAAATGATAAAGTGTGGAAAATGTCACAAGTTCAACGTGTTTTATTTTTATCGAAGAACAACATGGACATTATGCCATTGGGGGGGGGTGGTGAAGAAAATATTTGCCTAATTTTAGACATGACATTTGGTATTATGCAAAGTATAACATCCTGAATTTAGCCAAATTATAATGCCTGTATTGAGCGCTGTGCATTTGCGACCAACCTCCCTCTGCAACTCTCTTGTGACGTATAAAATACACGCACAATATTCATCCATACACACAGCAAGAAAGAGGAACGCTCGCGCGGCAATCGCAATGATGTCTATACTTTGCATAATATCCAGCATGGTTTTTTTTTTCGGAATGTCAGATGGAGTTAGGTAAGCACGATTCGGTTTGTTTGCATCATCATTTCGATAGAACACGCTCTCACTCTCATTCTCATTGCCTTGTTTTGATGTCTTCGTAAGCCGATATTCTCTGCTGTTGTGCGAGCCGATTTTCGTGTGCCATATGTGCATAGCAACCACGACAAATACTTTCACACCAACGCCATTCATGATGATTCAATTTTTTACGTTCGAAATGTTGTGACAAAAATTGTCGACAATTCATTTTCATCCTGCGGGTGTGTTTTTCACCATTTACATTTCCATTATCACAAATTAAATTGATATGGTAAATGCTAAAAATGTGGTTTTCATTGCATTACGAATTGCTTTGACTCCTAGGCAAAAACAAATATGTAATAGTTAACGGAACGTAGGTTACGAACAAGTTTTTGCGACGTTTTTTTTTGTCACACTCAATAATGAAACAAAAACCAATGGATTTTCCGTGCATTTCTTATCACGTACGCATATACGCATATACGCATACATCGCTTTTCTCCTCCTCTTCTCTGTTTTCCTTTTCTTCTTCTATCCAAATGAATCTGTAATACAGTTACGGATTCTGTATCACGATTCATCTTGTTTACCAAAAATGAATATTCCTTTGAAACGTAACTTGTGCTCGTGTCAAAAGTTCGTTTGATTCTATTTGCAAGTTGATCACGAATTTTCCGAATAAGTCGTTCGTTTGAATATCTCGCTTATTTTCATGTTGAACTTACCAGAATTGTGATATAACTGATCCATGAAATTATTGTTATCAATCATACTAGTTCGATAATTTCGAAGATGTTTTGTTGCTCTGTGTGTGTGTGCTGTCTATGCTTTGCTTGGCATTTATTACTTGAGTTTTGGAGGGCGAATATCCGTGTTTTATATGTATGTAGTTATACGTCTACATTTGAAAAAAAAAATTCTCTTCTAAACTCTTTACACGCACGATGAAAACTTTCTAATTGTTCGTATATTAAATGTGGTTTTTTTTCTTCTTCTATTTTATGAATTCACACATGTTAAAGCATTTGCTTATATAGATTTTTAGATGCGCGAACTCTCACTTAGTTCAATAGAGAACGATGAGAAATGGTTGGATTGAATTGGTTTAGTTTGTTGCTGTTGTTGTTGTGGGTTGTTTTTTTGGTCACTTTGGGATTTTTTTTTATTATTATTATTATTATTATTATTTGGCTACTTTGTTCTTGGCAGATTCGTTTCTAAAATGGTTTTAAATTCATTGCGATCGCTATCATGTCGTGTTTCATTCGTTTTATAGGAATGCCGTCAATCATTGTAGTTTTTTTGTTTGTTGTTATTGTTATCTAAATTTTGGAAAAGCTATGGTCTGGGAGATAAAAAGAAGAAACCAAATGGAAATGTTTCCAAGTGAGTTTTTCACATATGGGCTGATTTATGGGGGAAATTATCGTAACTTTGGATCATTTTGTTTTTCTTGTTCTTTTATTTTTCTCCTTTTTTAAGTTTTTCTTTTGTTTTTTTCTTTTGTTATTGTTTCGTTCAATCGTTTCACTCATGCAATCTCCCGGAAAAAGTTACCCGAGAAACAATCTACTGAAGATGAGACGAAAAAATGTCTAATTGATTCCGTTGAGCGGTTAATACAGCCCATAATTGAATAAAGATTTGATTGCATGCTGTTGGATTTATTCGGAAACGTGACTGGATTTTGGTTCGACGTCGTCGTCGTTCTTTTTTTTTCTCATCAATTTGATGTTTGGAAATCGAATTCGGTGGCGACGAGGGAGAATAGACGAATTAAAATTTGTTGGCACCAATCGTACAGGGGCCGATTGAAATGAAAATGTTATCAGTATGACATCAAGTCGCCGATATGGCAGCAACACAGACAGCATGCCTTTTGATTACAGTCAAAGTGGGAAAATATTGTGTTGTATGCCTGGCTGAAAATTGCCTAGCACCAAATCTACACCAAAAAATTCCATTTTCAATGTTCGTATTGCGACATGAGGACAAAACAAATATTGAATATTCATTTGGATACAATTTTCGCATTGTTCACTTTCGATTTCCTCCACACCCCGAGAGAAAAAAAACACAACAAGTCCAAAGCGCGATATATCCGTACAGAAATGAAGAATGATACGAAATAGGGATTGAAAAGCAGAAGAAAAAAATGGTGTGAAACTGTGCAAGATTGTGGGTGATTGTTATCAAAAATGCCCGTATATATTACTCTTCTATTTTTCTATCGAAGTTGAAGTGTCTCCGTGTTGATTAAGCATGTTCTCCTTGTTTTCGAATTTTTATTTTCCTCTTCTTCTTCTTCTAACCACTCCACTCATAATAAGTCACTCTATCATTGAAATTGGGTCGCATCTCGACTTTTCTATCTCTCAATTTTCTTATTATCCTTTCAATATATCACTATACGATTATTTTCTTCTTCTTTTTTGGTTGGTTTGACTATCCAAATAATAAAAAAAAGCAACTTGTGTGAAAAGCTCCGAAACAATATTTTTAATGCACAAGAACAATCTATTTCGATGGGGGGCGAAAATTGTTTTCCAACCACACACACACACTAACTGCACTAGTGAAAATTCATGTTTTGAATGATGTTGATGATTTTTCGTATTTATTTTTGTTGGATTTTCCTTTATTAAAGAGTAAGAAAAAATAATAAAAGTTCGACTACAGAAAAGTGCCAATTTTACTTTGCGAAATTTGTCGTTATCACTGTGTGTTTTTCTTTTCTTCTTCTTTTCTTTTATTTCGTGTTTTTGAAATACATAGGAAAAATCGAAAATTTGAGTGAAAAGCACATCGTCACACACTACTTTATCGTTTCGTTCAATAGAGAGACACAATGACAGCGAGATTGTAAAAGCTCGATGGACATATAAATGCATACACACAGACACGTATCCGTATACACTGCAGAATACACACGGACACATACGATTGTGTGTACGGCTTTTTAGTGGTGAGTATGCGTTGGTGTATGTGTGCGTGTGTGTCTCTTTTAACTTGGTGCGTTATCAATGAAACGCGGAAGCACAAGCGGACAGAACGAAACGAAAATGTTCAAGCCGCGATTCAAGTGGATCGCATTCATTTAACGGTCATTGTACATCGTTGACATTTATTTTATCATGAGAAAATTTGAAGTTGTAGTCATTTTCTTCTTTTCTTCTTTTCATCTTACTTGACATTGATTTCGTTATTCGCTCTCTCTCTCTCTCTCTCTCTCTCTCTCTCTTTCTCACCCACACTCACACACACACTTGAAATTATTTCAATTTATTTTGATTAAGAATAATATCGGCTGACATATCGTTGGCTCCAGCGCAACTCATACATTCGACGAATGTATGGCTCGGAAATATTCATTAACGCCGCGTGTGAGCATTTCCATAAGAGCGACAAACAATATGACAATGTGTTTGATGCAAAGCATTTCAATAGCTTTTCACACATACACATACGCCGCGCAAACACGTCTACGGTCGTGTGCGTGCGATGGATATACACGCGTGTGTGTATGTGTATGTGGTGAGTCTGCGTTACGAGTTAAAGCGCACAACACATTTGATTGTTTTTTTTTACTGTAGTCGAATCGCTATCCACTGTCTAGTGTCTACACTGTAGCACAGACGAAGGATAATACTTTCATGATAGATGTTCTATCGCATGTACCGAAATGAACCGGACATTTGCTGACAATTTTTTTTAAATATTTCACACCGAATTCCATATGAATTACGAGTTTTTGGGATAATTTTAAACAAAAATGATGAAAATTGAAAACCCAAGTTGAAAAAGAGTAAAATGAAAATAAAGAAACAATCGATCTCTTTCTTTTGGACAATGAAACGCCGATTGAAATTCATTCAACTGTATGTGAGTCTATAACCATGGCTGATCACATTCGTCCATGAGTTCGGTTGAATGAACTAGACAAATATGGAGATCGATACGCTTGTTATTGAGCCATTATTCATCTAATAATATTATTCGTACGTGCGTATTATCAATCTGAGCATATAATTATTTTTTATTATTCATAATCAATTTTTATAGATATGTTATGAAATGACTTGGTTGTTTTGAAACGGCTCAGTTTTCTATCATTTTGGCCTTTTTTTTATTGAAAGAAGAGAATTGCCTTAAATAAGTCGGAATTTTGACACTTTAGCTTATTATATTCCGAAATAGATTTCGCTTTCTTTGACTTTGAATTTTTTTTCTTGTTTGAAGCGACATTATTTTATCATTCTTTGATTGGAAAAATTGACGAAGAAAAAACCGAAAACAAAAAGAAAACAAAAAAAAAACCAAAATTTTGATCAAAATTTCAACGAATTCAATATTTATTTAAAAAAAAAAACTCGAGCCGAAACGCAATGACCTCTTTGAGTTCATTAAAAAATGATCTGCTGTAAACGGCTTAAATTTTCTGTTTGGCATTGAAAATGCCTCTTTCGTGTCAACATAATCAATTTCGATAATTTATCATTCAAGCGCGAATGATTGTGAAATGTGCCAGGTGTGTGTGTGTATGTCAAGATCAGTTGAAACAGTACATTCTATGAGCCGGAATGCGTTTAGTTCGTTATGTTGCCGTTTCCATTTTAAGCTTAACTCACACCACTCACACACAGACACATTCCACCACAATTGGAGTTCCCCCAATGGAGACACTCCATTCATTCAACTGGTGAGAGCCGTTGGTGCTGCTGTTGCTGCTGTTACTATTCCAATGAATGATGAAAAAAAGACCGTCGCCTATCGAAAGGCTTATTCAAAAAATTTCGGTTTGCGGTTTTATTTTCCTTTTTTTTTCTTGTGACGTAACTTCTATTATTATTTGATTTTTTTTTCATTTTTATTGTGTATATATACTGGAATAGAGTGAGCGCACATTCACTGCCGCCTGACATTGTTTATTAAAAAATCATGAGTAACACATCAATGAGTTGTTGTGTTGTTGAATGTTGTCGGCGTCAACGGCGTTAAGATAGTTAATCGTGCCGGATTGATGTGTATTGAAATAGCCAAGCGGAAAGCGGCCGGTGAACGCAAAAAATATCACAATGAATCTTTTGATAGAAAATGAAAAAAAAACACAAGAGAGAGAAAGAGAACAACTCACTGGTTGACGTGTATATTGCCAGCCCCCTCGATTAAATACACTGTAAAATTTAAGTGTTTTGTTGGTTTTTTTTCTTCTTCTTCTTTTTGATGATGAGTGTATTGAAATATTAAAACATAAATTAAGATTCGTATTGAAAGAAATGGTTGGCAATCATTTTTTTCTCTTGAATTTAATTAGGTCAAGTTTGAATCATTTATCATCTTCATCCGGCGCATTGTTGTCGCAAGAAAATGATTTTTTCTTAATAGTTCTCAAAGGATTTTCTATATCTTAAGCTGTCTTTTATTATGGTAATGACGAATGGATGATTTGAAGTTTTTAAACAATGGTTCATTTATTTAGAATTTATTATTCAATCTAATTCGGGGAATAGTCAAATTTTAAGGAAGTTTCTGAAATACTTTTTGAAATAGTTTCATTGAAACTGTAAACGACTTTACGCAACTTTCTATGATTAAATGAAACTTGAAGGAACTTTCATGTTGTTTCGCCTGAATTTATTCGAATAATCAATAGAAAATCCAAAACCAGCGCTGCCTTTACATGTTCTACAGAGTCTTGAGTCCATTTCATCCCAAATGAAATGGTTTTTTTTTCTTCATTTCAACGATAGAAACAACAACAACAACGTACACATTGACTAATCCAACACATGCAATTTCAACATATGCTATGCTAGAGTTTAAAAATAGCATTTTGCTGCTGTTGTTAAAACAACGACACAAGCGAATTTCTTTGATGTCATCACTCTATTCTGTAGTGTATACATTAGCTAGACTTGACGGCTATGTTTTGTATTTTCTTGTCAACTCCACTGCATTTTATTTATATTTATGTTGCTCTTACGTTGTTGTTTGGGCTGGATATTTCCATGCCGTTGTAAAACCGGTATATATTTTTCTAAAATTAAACATCTGGAGCGACACATTGTCGTGTTTGTTGGTTTTGTTGTGTGGTTTTTTTTTTCGGGGCGTATATAGCAAATGTGCTCGACATTCCGTTATTTATGAGACACGGTCTACATGTGTTTTCATCTGTACATTTTGAAAAATTATTGCCATCTTATCAGATAAATAGTCTCACTCCCTCACTTAGGTTGCAATGATTAAAAGATCTCGACCAAATCAATGCACAGTGCATACAATAGACAAATTGCGGCTTAAGTCTTCCAACCAGGCGGCCGTTCATTTGATTGTAATTTATTGATTTTTACTGTAATTTACCCATATGACAGCAGTTAAATGCAGCCGTTTAATGCGTATGCAAATTAACGTCCAGTATCTTTTCTATCTATATTGCAGTCATTTTGTGTGTGTCGTACACGACACATAAATAGAATGAGAAACACACTGACAGTCACAATGTATTATTATGACCCACATTTTCTGCAAAGTACACATTGAATGAGTGAGTGAGTGTGTGGTGTATGTGTGTAGTCTTTTGGGAACAATGTGCCGTTTGAAAACGCATTTTATCGGTTGTAATGCATCAAAGTTGCCATTATTCTAAGTGATGATTTGCGTAAACGCATATCGAACGTGACCGCGCGCGTCTGCCACTTGTAGGCCACATAGAAAACTTACTAGCTCTACAAAACACCAAGGCTCCCCTTACTATCCATATGAATTGTCGCCTGTGTAACTCTTAATAGAAACACAAAAAAAGAAAGAAAATGAGGGAGAGAGAGAGAGGGAGAGAGAGAGAGAGAGAGAGAGAGAGAGAGAGAGAGAGAGAGAGAGAAAGAGAGAGAGAGCAGGGGAGTGAGAAACAGAATTGAAAAGGCGAGGAAAACACAAGCAAGAGCCCATCCATTTGAGAACGAGGAAACAGTTTTGAACAATTGTATGAATACCTACAATTCGATAACTAACTTAATCCGCAACATGAACCATGTTCCACACGTTTTATGCGCTCGGATATTTTAAATAGCGATTGAGATGCCACTTTATCGTCCCATTCCTCTGTTTCACATACAACGCTGCACGTATCTCTCTCTGTGTGTGTGTGTGTGTGTATGTTCAAATGATGTTGAAATTTTAGACACGTGAACTTTCCAACTGTCTAAAATTATCTATTGAGCTTTTATTTCCCATTCATATATGGTGGCGTCGATTGCGAATGAAAAACAGCACAAGCAGTGTCAATGTTCCATGAAATCAATGCACTCAAAATAATGAGTTTCGAATTGAAGCGATAGAATGAGACGCCTTTTTCCCTACTCCATCCCTATATGTATCAAATTTATGTGCTTTTGTCCCAAATTAAACGCGATGAGAATGATTTCGACTGAATGAAATCGCAAAAAAATTGCGACACAAGTTGAGAGAGAGAGAGAAAGAGAGGGGAAGAAGAGCGTTTTTGATGGGAAATTTGAAACGAAGCCATTATTGATAACAAGAAATGTGAGTTATAACATCTATTTTTTCGCTTCATCTGCTAATCGCCTGGTTGGTACGCTTTTTGACACGAAATGGTTTCTCCAGAGGAAATCTCTTTTCAAAAATGGAAATACGATTGAAATGAATACTGAATTTATATCAAAGAGAAAAGTTTTTCTTTTGAAATTCTTCAATCACAAACTATATTGTTTTTGCCAAGTTCTCGTGCTCGTTTTTCCAACTGATTAGTATCGGTGATTCATTTTTTTTCTTTCATTCAATTATTATCATTTCATCAGTTTTTTTTTATGTGCAA